ATAAGCTCCATGAAAGCAGGGAGTGTGTCTTTTCTGTTCATCTGTGGTGTTGGCAACTCTTACCATAGTTTCTTGCACACTATAGTTACACAACAAACCTTAGTCCTCACAATAGCCCTGGGAAGAAGGTATTATTGCTGCTATTTTTCTAACGAGTCTTAAAAAGATGGCCTGAGGTTGCATTACTTTAAGTGTTTGAACCAGGATTCAAATTCAGATTTTTACTCTCAGTGCCCAGAGTGTATTGAGACCCAGGGTCACCAAATTCATTCAGACAGACAGCGTGTTTACAACTCAGAGCTCGAGTTCTTGCTATACTGGATTCTGATGGCACCGCATGCAAAGAATGGTGCTGAAAGGATGAAATGTGACCAAAGAAAAGCATGACAAGTATATCTGCCGGTGGCCTCTTGAAACACTAAGATTAAAGATTTAAGATTACAGACTCCAAAGTGTCCCAATCATGTAAACTGATGAGTGTCCTGATTATTCATTGTGAATTGCCTCCTTTGGGGGGAATGCTCAAGGCTGTTCAGAGTAAGGTGACTGAAGATTTTCTTTTGTTTTAAAAATAGACACATACATCAAATGATGAATGGATAAACAAAATGTGGTATATCTACACTGTAGAATATTATCCAGCCATAAAAAGGAATGAAGTACATATACCTGCTCCAACAGGGATGAACCTTGAAAACACTATGCTAAGTGAAAGAGGCCAGACACAAAAGGCCACGTAGTATATGATTCTATTACATGAAATATTCTGAGTAGGCAAATCCATGGACACAGAAAGTAGATTAGTGGGTGCTGGGGGCTGGGGGTAGTGACGCTTAATGCTTATGGGGTTTCTCCTTTAGTGTGGTGACAATGTCTTGGAAGCAGATAGAGGTGGTGGTTGTACAACATTGTGAATATATGAAAATGCCATTAACCATTTTGAAATGATTAAAATGCTATTGTAACACCAAGGTCAACGGTTCAGATCCCCATACTGGCCAGCACCCCAAAACAAAAAAAGGTTAAAATGCTAAATTTTATGTTATTTTATCACAGTTTTAAAAAAATCAATGAATTAGCAAATAGAAAATGGTAATTGTACTTAGTTGCTTTTTGAACAAAAGGAATATGTATAAAATCTGTCAAGCTTAATAAATTTTAAAGATTTAATGTACAACATGAGGACTGTAGTTAATAATGTATTATGTTTGGGATTGTTGCTAAAAGAGTAGATTTTAGCTCTTCGTGCCACAAGAAAGGGAGTAACTGTGTGAGATGATGGATACATTACTTGGCTTGACTGCAGTAACCATTTCATTATGCATTACACCTTAAATATATACAATAAAAATAAATTTAAAAATAAAATTAGTATTTGTCAACCTCATAGGTCATTCTACTGTGGGAAAGGGGTGAAGCAAATGTATTAGATGAGAACTAGAATTACCATGTACACAAATGTATCGAAAACCTCAGCATGTTAGCTCCTGGTAAGGAGGAAAAGGAGTGGCCAGAACGTGTCGGCCACCGCCCCGGACACTGCAGTTTGGTGAGTCTCCCGGCTCTGGTGCTGGCCTTCACCTGGTGAGCAGGGCATGCCTGGTGGGCAAGGGCTGTTAGCTGTGTTTAAGGAGTCTGCTGCCTCCTCCTTTAGCTCATAAAAGCACCTGGCACCCTGGTGGGCAAGGGCTGTTAGCTGTGTTTAAGGAGTCTGCTGCCTCCTTCTTTAGCTCATAAAAGCACCTGGCACATGAAGGGCAGCTGGTGGCGACAGGGCAGATGCCTGCCATGGGCGCTCCCATGGCAGCTGCCCTCCTTCTGCGGTGTGGTACCCACGTGGCTTTCCTCTGGACGCAAGTGTAGGAGACGGTCTCACCCGACTGTCTCCACTTGCCTTTCAAAGGCAGAGGGGTTCTACGATGAACCCACCTGGGAATGCATATGCTCAACTGTGAGGAAATGGGATGTTGGAAACGTTCCAAATCGGCCTTCAAGGCACTGGCACCGCCTGATGCGGCTCTGCTCCTGGCCCAGTTACCATGTCCCTGCCGATGGGACCCATGTCTGTCACCTCCTCCCCACACCTCTGCCCCTCCAGCCCTCCCTCCTTCACCTGAAATCCTGCTCATTCCTCCAGGGTCAACTCAACAGGGCCAATCCTTTACTTAGGATTTCCACCACACCAGTTTTGCGTTTCCTCGTTTTTGTGCTTGGGAATTTGATCTCTTCTAGCCAGATGGCAACTTCTCTGATGGTGGGGGCCTCCCACAGTGGTACACAGCCTCTACTGCCTTCCAGGCACCCTCTCCCCTCCATTCTAAGGGCACCCTCGTTATTCTTTGCTGGGCCAACCTGTCACTGTGATTGGCTCAGGGTCAGAGGTGAGAATTAATTCAGACCAATGAGAATCACCAGCCCTGGGTTTTTGCTGGAGCTCCTGGAAAGAGACCCTCTTTCTCTAGGAGCTGATAAACTAATAGGAGCTGCCAACCCTTGGGATGCTTGTCTGAGAATAAATAAAGCCACCCAGTCAGGAGACAGAGCAGAGTCCTGGTGGCATGGTTTAAGGCTTGAGAAGTCATGAGAGCCAACAACTTCTGTTCTGGTTGCTGGTTGGTTGCTTCCCCAAAAGAATGCTAATGCAGCATTTACCACAGGCACAGAGTAGGCACAAAATAAATACTTATTGACTTCTTGATAGTTTGTTTGCAGCATGTCTAGGGAGGTTAAGTGAAATGTTTTTTGTATTAAAAAATTTTTATTGTAAAATATGCGTAGCATTTACCATTTTAACCATTTTTAAGTGTACAACTCATCACAACCATCCATCTCCAGGTCTTTTTCATCTTCCCAAACTGAAACTGCATTCCCATTACACACCAATTCGCCATTCCTTCCTCCCTCGACTCCTGGGAACCATTGTTTTACCTTCTGTCTCTATGAATTTGGCTATTCCAGATATATAAATGGGATCATACAATAATTGTTTTTGTGACTAGCTTATTTCACTTAGAATAACATCCTGAAGGTTCATTCATCCATGTTGTAGCATGTGTCAGAATTTCATTCCTTTTTAAGGCTGAATAATATTCCATTATATGTATATACTATATTTTGTTTACCTGTTGATCTGTCGATGGACATTTGAGGTGTTTCTACCTTTTGGTCTTTATGAATAACGCTGCTATGAACATAGGCGTACAAATGTCTGTATGAGTCCCTGATTGCAATTCTTTGCGGTATGTACCCAGAAGTGGGATTGCTGAATCATGTGGTAGTCCTATGTCTAACTTGTGAGGAACTGCCACACTGTCCTCCGCAGTGGCCACTCCATTTGACGTTCCCACCAGCCGTGCACAAGGATCCCGATTTCTCCACATCTTCACCAACCCTTGTTTTCTGGTTTTTAAAAATATTTAAGTTTAAAGATGGAACTGTCGTAATGCTGGGAACAGAACTAGATAAGAAGGAAATTGTTGGGTGAGACATTACAGCCAGAAGCTTTGGCCTAAGATAGTCTTGTGGTCTTCAGCAGCACCATTCCCATGTAAGCTCCATCAGACACTAACCGGTCAGGCTACATCCACATCCGAGATGCAAAGGCCTCTTCTGGAGTTACAGGCCACTCCCTCCTTCCTAATGATAAACTTTGACTTGTAGGTACCAGTTTCCTTACACCCTGCCCACAGCCCAGTTTTGGCTTTTTCAACATGAACAAAGCTGCCTCTTTATCCCAGGACCCTTACAGAGCACAGCACCCCGGCAATGTGATCACGGACTCAAGCGTGCATTCTCCTGAGATAAGCTGGTGGCTGTGGCCTTTTTACACGATCTCCCCCTTCCTCCTTCCCCTGGCCATGGGAAACTTTCCATTTGAGTCCTCTGGAGAAGATGGAGGACATGCTGCCATCTTGTAGAGGTTTTATTTCTACTGTATCATGATCTCACACAGACTCAGAGGCACTGTCTTTTGTTTCAGTTTGGTATCCTCGTGACTTTCTGTAGTGCTTTTCTTTAAACAAGAACAGTTTGAGTAAACTCTGTACATTGCCAGTTAGTCTTTTAACAATAATTTAAAAATGTTGTTGCTGTAGTATCGTCAATGCAAGAGGACTGACAGTAAAAGTACAGTACAAGGAAATTCACGACGTGTTACAGTGGAACAGACTGACTCACATTTAGGTGACGGTGAGGACGCAGTAGCAGTATGTACGTGCACCAAAGATGTGCAAGTCAAGTAGAATAATATGTGGATTACACAGAGAATTTTCTAAGCCCATCTGAGGACTCTGTACCTCAAAAATGTTGACCTGTATCCCCTCCAGTTTATAGAATATCTGTCTTATCTACTGGCTTCATGGCTTTTTCACTACAAAAAGGTCACTGAATCCGACAGTCTAAAGCATTTAAAAATTTCTTTAAGAGTAGTACATAATACTGACAAAATAAAATTAACTTAAAACACTCTAATTCAACATGGAAATAAACCAAACCAAAATGTAACAGTGCAAATTTAACAGAGAGGCAGTCAGTATTGACAGCAGTGGTGTTCAGAATCTCTTAAAATGTACATTCTTAAAACTTTTATTTTTATATCTTTTTATACCTTATTTACCTCTTTTGTTTAATATACTGTGTGTAAAAAAGATGGAGACAAAAATAGTTTTCTGAGCTATGAAAAAAATTAAGTTATTACAGGCACATTTACTGTTTCATTCTAGAAACATCTCAGTTTCACAGGTTGAACATTCAGCAGCTGTGTGTTTTTAAAAAACATTCTTTGACCTTGAGAAAACTAGATCTCTTCTTGTGGGCAGAGTCTGGTTGGTGAAGATGGTGTGGTTATGCAGGTTACAGTGAATTATTCGGTGATAATCCATGCAAGCTGGAATCATGGGTGTGGCTTCTCCTCTGGTGGTTCCTCGTCACCATGCTCCTCCAAAGACGTCAGGTCTCCAGGTGACTGAGACTGTGAGGCAGTCGGGGACTGTGGGGCCCACCGGGATGGAGGGCGACGGTTTGCTGGTCTCTCGGGCCTAGAGAAGCAGGACTCTAGGGGCGGAGCAAGTGCAGAACAAGGTAGTTCCTTCAGAGTCGAGAGAGGAAGACAGGGTTACTCAGACTGGCATGTCACCATAGGGCCATTCCCCCAACACACTTCTCAACAGACTCAAGGCAAATGGAATAAACCACGGCAACTTTTGAATATTAATATTTTGCTCATGGAGAATAACTTAAATGATAAGTAAATTCAACATAAATGACCAATGACATGAATGGGATGGTATCAAGATATGATCAAAATATGATAATCTCGTGAGATGAACCTGCTCACAGAGCTCCTTCAGTGTTGGGCTGGAACACACGAGGGTGCTGCAAAAAGTTCATGGAAACATGGAATTAAAAGGTAGTACAAACCTTCCCATGAACTTTCTGAAGACCCCTCGTATAGACTGGGCAGAGTGACTGAACGTGGCGCCATAGGCTATAGCATCGTATTCCAACCCAGCTGATCCGTCACTTGGCCCTCTTGAATGATCTATTTAGCTTCAGTGAACCCTGGAACCGATCCTACAGGTCCTTGATGTGCTGGGGCCCGTGAAGAGAGCTGTGATTTCATCCAGCTGTGTCAGCAATGAGACTCCTCTTAAAATGAACTCAGCTCCTGTTTATTGCTAACCAGCTGGCAGTATGTTAAACTTCCATGATATGGAAAAATGCTGCAGGCAGAAATTGTAATTTAGGCTTCATTTTCTTTAATAACACTTCATCGTAGCAGCATTTTACTGAGTAGAATCAGAGTGCACGTGTGATTTTATGTTACGGGCATCTTATTGTTCTAAGAACAGGTAACGTGGGACTCTCTTGACCATGGTGTCAATATCCTGTAATCCTTATTCTTAGGGTTCTTTTTGTTTTTTAAGACTGTTGAGCTACTTGTCCTTAGACTGCAAGTCAGGGAACAAGGACGCCCACCCTTGGAATTCGCTGATTCACAGAAATGTAAAAGCTGTGGCATGAGTGGACCTCGTCTGCCCAAATGACATTCAAACATTGAAAGCCAAGATGGTGAACCACATCAATGGAAGGCACAGGATGAATGACATTGAACCAGGACCCACAAAGTGAGTCGGAGGATTTAAAGAGATAATGACGAGCAACCGAAAAGACCAGAATGAGAGATTAGCCAGTGGAGTAGGGGAACAACAGTGGGGGAAGAGAGAAGGCTGTGTTGAGTGGGCAATGACAGTGGGATGAGAAGCTGGGACATGGCGGGGATGTGTGGAGGTGGCCTGTGAGGTGGCATGGCCCAATGGTGGCATAGGACCCACAGGCTTCTGGAAGAGCTATGGGCCAAGGTGGCTCCCCGCCTCCCTGGCGAGTGGAAAGGAGCATCAGTGCTGGAGGGACTTCCTCCTGCTCCCTGCCTCTTTTGTGGCTGGCACTTTGTATGGCCAGGGCAGAAGCCTCTACTAGAAAGCACTATGCTGGGCCGACCCCGTGGCTCACTTGGGAGAGTGCGGCGCTGGGAGTGCAGTGGCGCTCCTGCCGCGGGTTCGGATCCTATATAGGGATGGCCGGTGTGCTCACTGGCTGAGCGCGGTATGGGCGACACCAAGTCAAGGGTTGTGATCCCCTTACCGGTCACAAAAAAGAAAAAAAAAAAACCACTATGCTAACGGTCACCATGACAACCAGAAATACCTGTCCAGTGCCACCATGGCAGGCTATGTGGACATTTTATCTTGAGATGCTGCCCTGTAGCACCTGTCTTGGAAATGACCTTCTCCCTTTGTTGTCATTTTTTCATGGGGACACATCTTTTGTCTTTGACAGCTCGTTATATTTTGCACTTAACACTTCCAAGTTAAGGCTGGTGGTGAATGGGATACTATATCCTTGCTCAAAATCAAAGCACACATTCTCTTGTGTGCCTCAGTTTAGGCTCTGAAGACGGTGTTGAGAGAAATTCTCAGTATCTGGATGGATTTGCTGTCTATACATTCACTAAATTTTCATCGAGCACTTACTTTGTCACCTACAGTGCTCACCTGGAAGGACAAGAGGCATTTAGGTTTATTCCTTCTGGTATGGTTGTTGAAATGGTGAGAAAAGCCTGATCATATTATGGTCACACCTTATCCAGCATGTGGCAATGCACACATGAGACCGAAATACTGGTGAGCAGGAGTGGGTGGCTGGGGACACAGGGCTGATGGAGGCTGGGCTCAGGCAAGACCCTTCCTGGCCAACATCCCTTCACCCTTCTGAAAGCACACTGGCTGCAGGCTGCACAAGAGGGAAATCTCAGCAGGATCTCTGTTAACTAAAGACCTTTCTGTGCACTGAGGGGTCAACCCTCGAGTGTCTGGGCTGCCAATCTGTTCCTGGGGATGAGCTAACCCTCCAGATCCCGGGGCAAGCATGGGGCACCTGCACTGAGCGGATCTCCCTCAGATGATGAGTCTCAGACACAACACGCCCTCTCCAGACAGGTGGGAAACGAGGAAGAAGGCACTTACAGCGTGAGGCAGCAGGGCTAGAGTCCCCAGGGGGCAGTTAGTAAGACAGTTTGGTTCTGGACAGAAGAGACAGAGAAAGAAAAGAAAAGCAAGTAGGTTGGAAAGTATTTTGCAAACAGGAGAACAGTAAAGGTTTAAAGCTTTAAAGGCAACAGGCTGGTGGCAGAGGAGTGTCACTGCCACCTGGGAATGGCCACTGGGACAGATTGGAGGTCCCTCAGATGTGGCACATTCACTCCGAGGCAGGCGTGGGGAAGCCACTGGTGCTCAGCATGCAGGCCTGTCCTCGGCAATTGACACAGAGCCAAGAAGTGACCGACTTGGCAGGGCAACATAGACCTTCTGGTGTTTGTGCCTCCCGAGCTGCCCTTTGGCATTTAACCTTTCAAACAGCACTTCGGGGGGCCGGCCCGGTGGCGCACTGCTGCAGTGCGCCACTTGGGAAGTGCGGCGGCGCTCCCGCTGAAGGTTCGGATCCCACATACAGACCGGTTCCCACTCACTGGCTGAGCGAGGTGCGGGTGCAACACCGAGGGTTGCGATCCCGTTGCCGGTCCCGGTCCGGTACGGGCGCGACACTGAGGGTTGCGATCCGTTGCCGGACACAAAAAAAGACAAAAAACAAGCAAACAGCACTTCGGGAGCTGGAAATCGCATGGCTGCTATAACTGAAACAGAGGCCACTGTGCGGCCGGGTCATCTGGCCACAGCGATCAAGCTCCCGTTGCTCACACCAGAACTTCCCCTCACACTTTCCGTGTGGATGTGGGAGGGAGGGACAGTGTTCCACCTTCAGATCATCCTCTTTCCCCCAGAACTCCTAATCCCCGCCTCTCTCTGTACTGGTGAGCTGGTGCCACGGCTTCACCAGGAAGAGGCCCCTGCTGCTGGGGGGGTGAGACCGAGGTGGGAAAGGGAGGATTCCTGTTGCTAAGTCGCCCTCTGTCTAGATATCTGAGTGCCATCCAGGTTGCTCAGAGTGGGCTGGGAAGTCAGAAGTAGTTCTGGTGATTCTGGAATGAAAATCTAGAATCATTTACAGAGAGATGGGAAGAGGTCTCCAATGGGCCTAATAAATTAAGTCAACTCAAACAAGAAATAATTCCACAGGAATCTAGAACAAACAGAATTCCAAGAGAGAAGGAGAAAAGAACCCATGGCATTTACATGCTGCCAGTGAATGCTCCAGGCAGGTTCTGAGTCACTGAGACTTCCTTCATTATTCTCTTCCAGTCATTTCTCTGGGGAGCAAACACATGGAGTAAGGAGAAAATCTAAATCCATACTCTGCAGAGGACAAAGCACAGGGCACAGCTTTGTCCTGATAAAACCATTTCATGCCATAGTGCTGTGATTCTGTCATGAAACTATTTTCTTTATTACACATTGCTTGCTAACTCAAGACATTTTTCGGTTCCTAACAATTAATTTCTGTTTAGTCTCTAATATAATCAGACACTGCAGACACAGCCAGTTAATGGTTTAGGACAAAGCTCTCATTTCTGTTGATTTCTCCAGAGCCCCAAGGCAGGTCATGTGATCAGCGAGTACTTACCTGAGGGTCTGAGGGCCCCAGAGGGACAGGGATGGGGGGTGGCGGTGTAACAGAAGGCCTAGAAGACACCACTTGTCACCCAACCAGCAGTGTCTATCCTCCTCAGAGCATGTGAACAACTCCATCACAAAGACTCAGCTCTTTGGGACATGTAGGCTATGTGCTATCAATATCTGTATTAGGGTGAGACATGTGGAATTGCCATTTCTGCATGTAGGTCTTTGACAATTCCACATGGTTTGCCGTATTTCAGATTTAAACTCTATTTTGAGTTAAATATTCCTTGGTGGGTCAGACCGGGAACCCAACTACCATTTCTCCCCCTGTGGAGACGTGGGTCGGGTGACGCAGGAGGCAGGCCGTCCTCCTCGCCTCACCTGGGAGGCAGGAGAGGCAGCAGGTGCGCCCCGCCTGTAGCACACTACAGGGTCTGCTGTTTGCAGTGAGGAGTTTGCCCATCCCAGCTCCTGCGAGTCGGGATTACTCGGTGGCCAGATGTGTCCTCTCTGTGCTGCACAAACCGTGAAGGCGGCAGCACCACAGCTGTCACCACCAGCGTCACCATTGGGCTCTGTTTCACTCTGCTCATCGTTGGAGCGGAAGTGGGATTGTTTCTGACAGTGGTGTGTACACATATACCACGTGCAGACATGTATCAGGACAGAATTCAAGGTTGGCTGATTTGTGACTAATGTCAGGGGGGATGATTGTCATTGTATCGTTTAGGGCAGGATTTTGACTTGACCTGTTTCACCTGGTTTTACTGCTGGGGGGCAGTCCATGCGCACAAAGAGGGTGAAGATGTGTGGGATGCCAGGCTGCTGCTCTGCACTGAAGCCACCCTGGAATGCACACATCCTTCTTGTAGTCCCTGCCAGGATGTGCTTCTGCCCACGAGGCCCAAACCCTCTCCCCCTGATGCTGTCACACGTGAAGCTCTGTAACCTGCAGAAAGCCCAGTCTCAACTCTTAGTTTCCCCCATCCACACACAGATTCACACAGAAAGAGGGCAAACTATGATCCCAAATTAAAAGGCCAGATAAACAAAGAAGGATCTACCACTTGGACAAGAGGACAGAACCTGAATCAAAACCATGTCCTCAGTGATTTTCTGCGAACACTAAAGTGAAATCTTTAAGAGGTCACTCTGGGTTTGTGTTTCTGCCTATTCCATTCTGCCATAATTGCAGCGCCTCCCAGCTCACAATCAATCACAGATGATTCCTGAAATCAAATGGCTGAGGGCAACCTGGGCTTGGACACAGGACAGTTAAGTGGAGGTAACTGGAGGGGAGGGTGTGGGATGCTCAGCATTCATTACCTCCATGGGCCCTGGTTCAGTTATGCCCATTTCTCCTGAGTGGCTGTCACCGTTAAGACTTGCGGGGCCGTGGGAGGCCTGCCTCCTCTCCTCCTTTAAGGCGTGTTCCAGCAGCTTCTTGTGGAGAATCCGGGCCACGTTCTTGGTGAGCGTGTAACCAGGGGGTGCAGATAGGTCCTGTTTCACCAGTGTGCCCTCTCCCCCGTCTTCCCTGCATGTCTCTGAGCCCACCCCAATGGGGCTGGGTGACCTTCCTCGGGAGCTGGTGGTGCCTGTCTCCTGGCCCAGGCCCAGCTCTGGCTGGGGCTCTGCTGAACGAGACCGACTTCCAGCCCACGGCCCCTTCTGGAAGGGGTCCTGCACCACAGGGCTGTGGTCAATGATATTGAAGAGGCTGGAGAGCCCATCGTTGATGGTGGTGAGCACAGGACTCTCCCGCGTGGTGGTAGACCGGGCCCAGGCTGACTCACTGTACCCTCTTGGGGCTGTCCCTTGTGCGGTCCTGTTATTGGGCTGGTCAGCTTTGGGGAGAGGTTTCCTCTGTAGCTTGGGAGACCCGTACTTGGGGGAGCAGCACGTGCGTTCAAACTTGGCCTGCACCTTCTCGATGGCAGGGGCCACCTGCCTGCTCCTAAGGCTGCGGGAAGGGGATGACACGGGTGTGGTGCTGCCCCCAGCCTTTGGCGTGAGACACTTATGGGGGCTGCTGGTGACGCCACTGCCACGCAGGGCTTCGGTCTGCAGGCCCACGGTGATGGTCTGGACGGTCTGCGTCCCCGTCGTCCGGGACCCATTGGTCTGGCAGGCTGTATCCTTGACTTGTGGCTGGGTGGGACCAGAGCAGATGGCATTCCTGACAGAGAAGGCCACCTCCTTCATGTCATCACTCATGTTCTTGGACATCTCTAGGCTGTGCAGTGGGGAGGCAAAACCTAGTGGGGTGCAAAGGGGACTGTCGAGGGGACAGAGCGCCCCCTCCACGAAGTCTCGAGGGTGTCTGGAGGGAGCACAAGGCCACCTGCCGAGGACGGAGTCCGGAGGGTCCCCCTTGGCGTCTGCCAGGCTCCCTCGGGCTCTGCTCGTGGGAAAGGGGCCCTCAGGGTCCAGCCGGCCCCTAGCCTCACCACCCGCTGCCGTGATGCTGTCAACCCTGTGGACAGTGGGAGGGCTATGCAGCATGCGCACCCCCAACTGCTCAGCGACCACATGGCTCCTCCATGGCTGCTTCTGGCAGTGCTCTGGGCTGGTCATGGTGTCTGTGGTCATGGTGACACTTGTGGTCAGATACCAGGAGGAGTTGGGGAAAGGCTCAGCGGCGGCCTCGTGCCCTGCCTGCCCCACCTCAGTCCTGTCTGTCCAGATGTCTGGGGGCCGCTTGGTCCCAGCCCCGCCATGGTCCCTGGTGGGCGCATAGTCCCAACTGTTGCTGTTGAATTCCTCGATGTACTTGAGGTCGTCAGGAGACAGGGGTGGAGTGATGTCCTCCTTGCTGCTGGCACATGGTAGGCCCTTCTCAGGCAGGAAGGGGGAGCCATCCATCAGGCGCTGGAACTCGGACATGGAGGACACAGACACCACCCTGGAAAAGGAGGGAAAGAAGAGGACATCAGCACCACCAGAGAACCCTGACACTATGCACCTGTGCCTGGCCTTGTGTGCAGGGGACCCCTGCAGGTGCCACCTCCCCCGAGACTGTGAACGCTGTCAGCTGCCTGACATTCCACCCATGAACTGAGCCACGGGAGCCTGTGGGACTTCTTATGGCTCTGGAATTGTTCCTGGAGCCGTGGGCTGGTCAGAATTGAATACAGACCACCTTAAGGATGTGGAAACAGGTGGAAGTGGGCTGCATGGCAGTCTCAGATCAACGCCAAACCATGGCTGGGCATCTCCCACCACCAAGGGGCACCTCCAGTGACAGCCCCATGTGGGCTTACTGAGGTCCAGGCATCAGGCAGGTGCTCACCCCATACAGTGACATCCCACAGTCCTATCTACAGTCACTAATGGCATCTGGGGAGAGACCCCAGCAAAATAGCTACAATCCAAAGTGTCCTTTCACCCAGTCAGCCTCATCCTCTATTGGCTCAAAGCACTAACAACCTCCAAAGGCCACTTGGAAGATGCAGAAAGGAGGACAGAAGTGGAAACATAACCAGATTGGTGCATAATTCCCAAACACTATTTCAAACAAAAATTCCATCTGGCTCCGCCCAGATTCACCAATGGGGCTCAGTTCTCCCCTCCTCCTCTGCTCCCTTCTTTATGGCCAAGTCTGCTTTTTGCCTGTGATCCTCCTTTGTTCCAAGGTACGAGGAAAAACTCCCTCAGACACAGGAGCACACGGCTGAAGACAGGAGCTCTGAAGCAACAGCCAGAGTCTGGTACGCTGCCACCAGAGACACAGATCTGGGTGCGGATGCCTCAGCACGTTAGCACTTTAATTCAACACACAGCTGTCCCTCTCCCATGGGAGACTGGGTACACTTTAAATCACCTCTAGATTACTTGTAATACCTAATACAGGGTAAATGCCATGTAAATAGTTATACAGTACTGTTTAAGGAATAATGGTAAGAACAAAAAGTCTGTAAATGTTCAGTACAGTTTTTTCGCCAAATATTTTCAATCTGCAATTGGTTGAATCCACCAATGTGGAACCCATGAATATGCAGGGCTGACTGTATTTTGGTTTGATGTGAATTTCCTGAATGCCTCCTCTGCCTGCGCCTGGGCAGGCGCTGTAGAAGTGCTGAGAGCACAGGCATGCTAAGACAGGAGGTGGCCAGGGTGCCCCCCCAGCCAGGGCACAGAACTGGTGGTCAGGGAGGAGACTGGGTGCTGGCTGTGCCTGCCGGCTCAGGCAACAGAAGCTGTTTGGCCTGGAATCCCTCTTCTCTTGCTGGGCTGGGGCAGGGAGGTCAAGTATACGTAGACTCACTTCTTTGCAACTGGACTAGCTTCTCACAGGACATATTAACATTCCCCTCCACCTCCCCCAAACAGAGGTTTAAATGCCTAGGGTCCTTCCTAAACCAGCCTGGCCCTGCCAAAGGGGTCCCAGGCAGGATCCATTATGGTGGTGAGGCCAGCAGTGGGTGCTGCTGAGCCAGTCCATGTGCTGCATGGCCGGTGCACAGACCAGCGACGCTCTGGGCAGCTTTGCTGACAGATGTTTTACCCGGGGCAAGGCACGCACTCTGTGGTAACCACCATGGGCTAAAAGTGACAGTGTTAGGTTAGAAATAATCTACCAGCAGTTCCATGGCCCTCTGAATAACAGCAAGCTGCTGTAACCTGTGCTAGGAATGAAAGGAAATGGAAGGAACAGGTGTATTTGTGGCTAGGTCTTGAGATTTCTGGCAAGTATGATTTCATCTCCTTGCTTCTGGCCAATTCAAGGAATTGCTGAATTTATGATGAGCCGCAGAGCTCTCATTACTGAGGGCTGTTAGCTCTCAGCAGCCACCAGACCCTGACCCTTTCTGCGTTTCTGCGGATGCTGCTCATTTACATCCCACTTTTGACCACCAGAGAACAGTTCTCAGATTTAAATCGGTGGCACCTGCATGGGTGGGACTTTGTGCCTCTGGGGCTTGGATGGATAGGGTGGAGCAGAGGCGATGAGGACAGAGAAAGGACAGGTGTTGCTTAGCAGTGGCCACTGCAACAGCAACTACTACAAAACCAGGCTGCGCCTGGAGCAGGTGCAGATGTGCAGAGGAGAGCACAGAGGATGCATGGTGAATGGTCATGAGTGAGAGGGAAAGGGGCAGGTGGGGCGGGCACACCATCTTTTTACTTGGACATTTTGATACTGTTTACATTTTACAACAAGCATGGATTACTTTTGAGATTAACAGAAGCAAGTAAGGTAGGTAAATACTCATAGCTAGTGTGCAGGCAGGAGAGAGAAAAGTCGATGGCTTGGGCAGGAGAGGAGGGTGGTTATGACCCTGCCTCGGTATGCTGTGTGGTGCTGCTGGGGAAGGGGGTAGGGGCGGTGACAGCCAAAATTTGTTTACTGTTTATTCCGTGCCCGGAGCTGCTTTAATTGTTTCATGTGTATTAACACATTACCTCCAATTTATACATGGGGAAACTGAGGCACAAAGCAGGTAAATAACCTGCCCAAGGTCAAGTGGCTAGTGAGAAGCAGAGCGATTGGAACCCAGGTTGTTTGGCTCTAGAGCACGAGCTCACAGGCTGCCCGGTACTGCCTGAAATGACCAGAAAAGACAGAATGTGAAGGACAGAGATTTGCCCAGGCAGCTCTGAGCTGCATGGATCTGATGGTGCAGAATGGGGAGGAGACAGTATTTCCAGACGTGAGGTGCTCAGGAAAATCAAGAAGGAAGAAGTCTGCAAATGGCGAATTGCCTGAGAAAAATTCCATATAGTGGAAATGGTATGTATTCATCTATAGAATAAAGAAAAAGTAAAACCAGAGGAAACTGGTTTGGGAAGGAAAAAATTGGTACGTAACTAACATCAACCACTATATACTTTCTTCAAGGATTACTGCCAGGAAAAATTAATAAATCCTCATAGTAGAGCTTTTAAATATACAGTATATAAAATGTCTCATAGCATATCAAGAGGGATTTTTTCCAGACTTTAAAGTGAGAAGAAAGAGGTTTCCATGGACTTCTCAAAAACCACTGAACATAAGCATCCCTCTGGATATGTGACATGACTATAATTAAAAAGTCCTTACCATAAAACAATACATGCACAAACATGGCATGTCTGGCTTTTTTGTTGCTAATAATAAACAATGCCATATTTATGAAATAAATCGTAATAAAGCAGCTACTAATTCAGAAGTCTTAATTTTAAGTTGTTTTGAAGAGAGTGCTAAAATATTGCTTTGACAAGACAGAATTTTAAGATCAAGAGATTTTTATTTCAGTAATCTATTATTTTCATCAATCTCACTCACCTCTGAAGATTCCCTTTGTGACTTTCTTCTTCCTATAAAGGAGAAATAACATTGTCTGAGTCAGGTCACCTGCGCTGCCTGGGAGCCTCACGCGTGCTTAAGTGATCTGTTTCGCTTTGCTCTCTTAGAATAGTGCATTTAAGGTGTACACTGAGGCCAAGCTGTGGTCAGGAGAGCTGCTGCCCCTGTGTTCTCTGAAGTATGACAGGAAAAGTAGAATCCACAGTATGATGAGGGGGTGGAAGTTCCTGCAGTCCTTGGGGAGCCCACAGGAGTGAAAGCTCTGGCTAGAAACTGTCACAGAGGAAGCTGCTCCTCTGGACCCCCTCAAAGAACCTCACCAATTACACGAATCTCAAAGCCAGCTCCTGTAAGTCTACCTATGTAAGTCTGGGTATGAGTGTGTATGTTAGAGACAAAGAGAGAAGAGAGAGGAAGGGAGATGATAGAGTCAGTTAGGAAATTCGGTCCCTTGGTCTGAATCTTGCTACAGAAGTTGTGACAGCCTTAGGCTTGGACCCTTGCTTGGTTTTAAACATTCCCATTTCAAGTCAGAGAAGTTACAGTAACTTCCCCTTAAGGAGGAGGAGGACAGTGGTACCAACAAATAGCAACATTAATGTAAGGCTGTCTATTGAGAAAACACCCTGGTGCTGACCTGGTTTGAAGAAGCCAGCCTTTGACAGCAATGGAAACATATTCCCGGGAACAGTAACCAGTACAGGGTGCACATCCCTGTCGCTGCCGTGCAGAGGAGTATGGCATCCCAGCCACTACAGAGCTGAAACTCAGACAGAGGCTTCCGGCCCCTGTCCCATGTTCTCTCTGCTATGAAATTGGACCATACGAGATGGCCAATAGATGAAACAGGTGGAACTGCTACATATTGCTACGTGACATGTCCTGCAACCTGCTACATATTGCTGACATGATACACATCACGCTTGACCTCAGTGACGTGTGACCGAAGTATGATTTCCTCATATTTCAACAACAGGATTTGACACGAACTCTTCTAAGTACCAAGTGTTTGGAAGACCAAATGACAGATACAGCAACTGCTAAACTGATTCACTAGCTAATGATTCATAACTAATACTATGCCGTGGAAGTTTCAGTACATAGCTTAGCTCACCCATTTGGAAATAATCTAATTTATGTAAGATTTCTAAGTGTTGGATTTTTTTCCCTTTGCCCAGAATAAGATATTTATAGTATGTCATTATTTAGTAATATTTGCTACTTCCAAATGCTAGGAAATTGCTTTAAAACAGAATTTTATCAGTTATTAGTTTTCTGGAATCAGAAGACTGTATGGTGATTTCAAGAAAAGTTGAAAATACACACTTCCCAGAATTATTTACTTCCTCTGTGTTTTGTTGAGCACACTCATTTGTGAGACCTTTCCTTCTACACAGGACACTAGTCCAATATTTCTGAGCCCAAAGCAAGGTGACAAAGTTAAACTGACCACAGAGCACACTAGGAGTTTAGGGTCAGGGCCACCATGCAAATCCTTAGCTCTGTAAAGTTTCCATCTTTACTCCATTCAGAGGCTGCCATATGTTAAAGCCACTGGAACCTGCCAGCAGGGGAATCTGACAGACGCCGGTGGGGTGCAAGGGCAGCTCCCTCATTCTGCATAGTTAACCAGAGTGGACAACATCAGGCTGACCTCGGGGAGGCGGTTCCTGAACTCCCTCTCGGGCCTGCGGGGCGGCGGCTCCTCTGGCTCATCGTCTAGGCACAAGGCATCCAGGTAGAGGTCCTCACTGGCCGAGCACCTGTCTGATTCCTTTAGCTTCGACAGTGGCAGGTCTTCAAATTGGGTGGAGTCAGCATCTGTGCAGGGCCATATTGACACAGGTCGGGACACATGGAGGCTGCCCTGGTGGGAGAAGGGGCGGATGACACTTTCTCTCTGATCACAGAGGAAACTGCCACTTCTCCGGGGACTGTTCTCTTTCTGCAACTTGAGAGTTTAGAAAATGAAAATAATTAGCCTCACTTTTCTGTCTTATGGTCTCCCTAAGACCATCTTTTCTCCACAATTTTGAATTTCTTAACAATTTTGAAAGATTTTGTGAGAAGCAAATATTCTTACAGTTCTGACATTAACTTCAAAATGTAACACAATATTATACATGCTTTTAAAAAATAATCGCAATTTTATCTGGACTAGAAAATGTGCAGTAACCACACACAGGTATGACCAATTCTTTCAGACACAAATACACATTATTGTATATAACTTTGAGTACTGTGCCCTTGGGAAATTACACATTTATTTTTTTAAAATCTAATATTGTTAAATATGTTAAAAACTCTCTTTTGGAATTACCTTCAGAACTCAAGCCATACTCAGTGTAACACCATCAGTGAGAGCAAACTTCTGAGGGTGAATTCGATTTTCCTACCTAGACCCAAATCATTTGGAACAGGTCATAGGACCGGGTCATCAAACTGGGCTGTAACCATTGGTGTTAAAAACAACTCACACTTTGCTAGAGAGGACTGACCTTAGCTGTAGAGGTGAGCAAAAGTCTGCTATGACTGAGGAGAAGCACATACTTTGTAGTTACACTTGTTTTGCCTGACTTGGTAACTCCAAAAGCAGTAATGGGAAAACAGGACCCCTTGCAGTTGGAAGACTTGAGTTGGAACTGTGATCTGTGGCTTGCTGGTGGGCTAGCAGGTGCAAGTTTCCTCATCTGTGAAATGGGACTACACACCCAGGCACCAGCAGGCCCCATGCCACTCTGCAGGCCCATGTGAAGCTCACTGGGCCTGGGGCACACAGGAACATGCCTTCCTTGCTCCCTTTACAGCACAAGACTGAGATCTTGCAGAGGCCGTTTGGAAGGCAGCCTCTGCGAAATCACAGGGGACTGCTGGCATGGCTGGCATGGCTGGCAGATGGCTCGTGGGGCTCATGCTCTTGCTCCTCTGAGAAGCCCTCACTTGCTTCCCCTCCATTCTCCTGATAGTCCCTCACTGCCTCCCCTTCTAAACATGCACAAAAGCACAATCGAGACCAGGAACTATTTCCACCTACGAATCTTTAACAGTGTCTTTATGGGATGGCAAGCTCACATATGCTACTGGCTTGACTGCTCTTTTGAATAAGTAAATTATCTGAATGATGAAAGTGACATTTGGATTTGACCTGAAGGAAGATTTTTGGTCTTCAAACACTGAGATGAAGCCAGAAAATTCTAAAACTCCTTTGAATGCATCTTTGTGTCCTAACCTGAGGCTCATCCACAAGGTGGATGCAGGTACGGTGTGTGTACTGTCAGGAGGAAAATCATGGAAGAGAGGGGAGAAAAGGACTTTCACTCATTTTTAGTAATTTCTGAATGGTGGAACAAAGGTTCCAGACGATCATCTTTATTTTATGAGAAAGACGTAGATTCAAGCATCCAGAGCTTAAACTTTGGAGTCTGAGGTGGGTTCGTGGTCAAACCAGGCAACAAGTACATCACTCCACTGGCAGCGCAGCCCCTCGTGCTCCCCTCCCTTCCCTGATGGCACAGCTCTTGGCAGTTCTCTTAAAGATGCTAAATGCTTTCCTTGAAAAAATAAAAAGGAAAACTTTTTATTATGTTCATCTAATGCATGTCAGCACAATTTAGTTTTAACACATGATCATCTCCAAGCTATTTTGGGTGAGGAATTAAAATGCAAGAATCGCACTTGAAGCTGTAAATGTGCGCTGAGGGTGCGAGTGAAGAGGGAACAAAAATGACGAACAAGAAGAGCTATGAGCAAGCTTGTTCTAGCTCAGTAAAGTGGGATTTCAGAAATAAACGCAGGCAGCCAAGAGCAGCTTGCACTAAAGCTGGTAAGTGTTAGGTTTCCTAAAAATGATCTGGAGTGGTTGAGCTGGTGGTATCTGCTGCTAAGATGCCTCTGGGGTGTTGTAATAGAATCATGGGTCCTTAAAAGGACAGGGTTTTCTAGGGGAGTCATTTCAAATCAGGCTTCAGCACCTATTGTACTTGCAATTTTGCAGAAGAACAACTTTTAATGCACATAAAAATTTAAAAGATTTGCATTTCAAATAATACAGGAAATAATAAACCCTCAGGAGTGCCACTTTACCCAACTGCCCAAAAGAAAAAAGGTCATTTTGTAACAGGTTTAAAAGCATGGCTTTTCATGTCATGAAGACAGCTGACTGAAGAAAGTTATTAGAAGGAGAATGGATAACACAAGCTTTCCTTTTCAGCTGGGTCAGTACAGTGAGTATGGTGGCAAGTCCTGCGTTATCTGTGTGCTGAGATTGTAATTCTAAGGAGAAATGTAGTGTGACTCCATAAAAGTTAACCACCCCCAACCAAACTTGGATTGAGACAAGAGATGCTGACAAGATAGATGAAATGTGTGACATGGCCTTAACCACAGTCCCACAGTCAGTCATCACACAGAATGCCTCACATGGCACAGAAATTATGCAGGAATTTAATGACACCGGGCAAGTATGGAGCATGTGTTCTGAAAGTGGAAAATGGATTTAGTGCTACTTGTCTCACCATCTGTATTAGAGTATCACAGTCAAAGTTACATGGCTTGCCAAGGAGTCAGATGTCAAGCACACATGGTGAAGAACGTTATTACATTTCCTCTACATCTATGAAATGTGTGGCTAAAAGTTAAATGAATGAGCAACCCATGAACTAATAAACAAAATCTATACAAACCCATACACGCCAAGCCAATTTCCTCTTTTACAGAGAATGCCTATAACTGCTTTACTTAATTTTCAGGGCTGGGCCCCGGGATTTATGAAATCTTCTTTAAAAGTGTTGACTATTTGGGGAAAAAGGCCAAATTTATTTTTGAAAGCCATAGTTGCATATCTAAAGCATCAGTTCATTGGTAACGAATCCTCTTCTAAAAACAGCTATGAAATCATTATACAAAAACTGTGGGATCCACCACACAGATGAGTGCCTGAGACTCCTGTGCTGCAGATCCTCAGTGCTCACTTTGAGGACTGGAGTTCTGAGGCTGTCAGGTGGGTAGAAATGCTGCATTACTGACCACCTAGAAATGGAGTTCAGCTCCTGACCCCTCTTATCTTTCCAAAATTTAGGCACTCTCTCATCCGTAGGTCATTAATGTTTCAAAAGTCCACTATCATCAGATGTGTCTTACTAATTTTTCCTTTGCTAGAAATTCCTCATTCTCAAAAAGTAAAATAAAAATCTGAAAAACTTGCCTAACATATCCAAGGTGTAGCTTTCAAAACAAATGAAGACTGTGACAAGACCAATAAGCCACTATGTCTAACAGGCAAAGGGGATGCTAAGGACCACAATGGCTTTGTTGGGGTATAGGAGGGACATACAGCAAAGGCTAAGAAGGAAGCCCCTTGTAGCAGATGCTGGGAGTTACTGTGACACAGGCCAACTAAAGTTGGATATGATAGATTTGTAACCATGCTACTTTTATCCCTAAAATTTCCACCTAACTACTGACCCATTCAGTAGAGCACAGACAAGGGATTTAATACAGGAGATTCTTCACAAGTGCTGCATTTCCAAGCCAAACAGGAAATGGCCAACTTTCCTCTTGATAGGATTTGGGGAATTTTGAAACAGAGCCATATCAGCTATCAGTAAGGTGACTCATTTGTGTGAGTTATCAAATCTAGGAAGAACATCAGCTCCTTCCTATCTGCAGTGAATCTTTTTCTTCTCAATGATTTCTAAGCCAAAGGCTCCTTTTTTTTTTTTAAGCCACTTAGTTCATTCTCCCTTCCTCCCTATCCGATGCTATGCTTAAGCTGATATTTGTCCTTGTACCTGCATAACACAGACACTGTGTCTGTGGATAATGGAGCACATTTTTGAAAATGCTCCTGACCTAAATGCAGACAGCATGGGTATTTATAATAAAGTAATGAGGTGATTTTTCCTGAACTCAGTTTTTTATTGATTAATAAATTCTCTTGAGGCCTCATGAATTTATAAGCGTGACAGACTGAAATAAACAAAATGTATACTATGTAAAAATCCAGACGGGTACTAATTCCAAATCTTCATCAATTTAATGTGAAAATTTAATTTGTGCATCACTCAGGAACTACCACAACTATGCAAACTATTCAAAGTCTGATGCAATGCAGAGTGATTATCTGGGCACTAGAAAAACAACTCCATCCTGTCCCCCCAAATCCACCTGAATTTCTGAATTGTTTAGTTGAAGATGCTGAGGTTACCATTACCTCTCTTGACTATGGTCCTCTCTAATCACAGCTCAGCACTATCCACAGCAGGTACAATCACCAGCAAACAGCCTGACTTCCAACTTAATTCAGCAATTTCTTTACTAATGACAACAATTCCATTCAAGCTGGAGCAGTCACCATGACCACATCATTAGTGGCAAACTTAAAAGTTAGTGAGCTTTTTGGCAGAAATCACTGAATAAGACCTGAAATAACCTCCGCTTTCAAATTTAGTCTTTAAATTCCTTTTTTTTTTCTTTAAATTCCTTTTAAAAGTTATTACCCCCCACACTCAACAACATACACACATAGGAAAATTACCTACAGATTTTATAATGAAATATTTGTGTGATGGAAGAGCATGAGCCTAGGTCTCCAGCACTAGAAATTCCAGCATTTCTCTCTCTTCCTTTGGAAGCCAATGCAATATCTTGATGTGCCAGTACCATGAAGCAGCCTGGTTTTTTTTTCTCTGAGTGATCTTGGTGTCCAGGTCCATTTAGCAGCCTCCCCTCTCTGCTAGTGGTCTCCCTTACCTGCTCTATCCTCCATAAGAGCTCTTTCTTCTGCCGTTCCCACTCTTGCCGCTCTCTGTCCAGGCGCTCAAGAAGCTCCACTTTCTCCCGGTTCCAATTCTTCTCACTGTGATGGGTCTGCCAGCGCAGTTCCATGACCAGGCTGTGACTGTCAGCCAGGAGCTTCTGGTGCACCTCTCTCTCCTTCTTCAAGGCCCCTTTGCTCTCAGCAGAGGAGCCTAGTTCTCCCAAGTTTTTCTCGGTCTTCTCTTCCAGCTGTCAAGGAGAAGAAAAGACTTAGCAACTCCCTTCCTGACAAGTCTTACATTGAAGAATGAAGAAAATCTCAGCATATTTACATGCAGTCCCTGGAAACATGTTTAAACCATGAGCTAACCAATTCCATGGAAGAAACAAATTTCATTTTTAAAGTCCCAAGAACATTTGACATTCAGTTATATTTGTCACTCAGGAGGTTAAATACCAAAAACAAACAAAACCCCCAAATCTTACATCTTATATATCCAAACTGGTAAAAACCAAAGAGAAAATCTTGACTGCAGACAGAGAAAAAAGACATACTTCAAAGAGAGTCACAAAGATGAGAATTACAGAAGACTTCTCATCGAAAACTATGCAAGTCAGAAGATAATGGAGTGACATCTAAGGGGCTGAAAGAAAAAAGATGTCAACCTGTGTAGAATTCTATACCCAGCAATGTCTTTCAAAAATGAAGAAATAATACTTTTAAACAAAAAATCACTGATAGCAGACCTCCTGCATTTCAAGAAATGATAGGGGAAGAAAAGGGGTGGGGTGGCTGTTTAGCTCACTTTGATACTTTGGTGCTGATAACACTCTTCAAGGGTTCAGATCCCTATACCAGCCACAAAAAAAAAAAAAAAAAAACTTCAGACAGAAGAAATATGATACCAGTAGACACTTTGATTTACATGAAAAATGAACACTGGAAATGGTATAAATATATGTAAATATAAAACTCTTTTTTTCCTATTTTTAATTGCTTGTAAATATTACTGACTGTTCAGAGCAAAAATAGTTGCAATGTATTGTGTGTTCATAGAATATGTGGAAGTAACTATGACAGCAGTGGCACAAAGGATGGGAAGAAAACTGGGGATAGACCATGGTAAGGCATACGCGGCATGAGGAAGTAGTCCAACACCACTTCAAGATAGACTCATTAATAAAATATGTATATCATAAACCCTAGGACAAACACTAAAATTACAAAAACAGCTTGCTGTTTTATGCCCCGTTTTTATCCTAGTAAGCAAACTGTCATATTTGTTAAGTGCAGGAGTTTAAAGAATTTTGTTTTTATAGTTTTCAAAGAATGGCCTTTCACATATATTACCTCATTTGGTCTCGTCAGCAATACTTTAAGTACAGATATCCTCATTCCCAATTCATTGATAAAGAAATGGCAGCTCAGAGTGCTTAAGGGATTCGCCTGAGGACATGTTCAGTAATAGTTGGGAATAGAAACCATGTGCGTCTTCTTTAACTACCATTAATCACGAATTAATGTCACCAGTAAACACCCTGCAAATTACACCAACTTCCTTTTATTATTCATATCCAGAGATTAGTTAACTTTCTTAAAATGAGTTATTCAAAGACCTGTTAAAATCATTCATAGTTGGTTATCCATGTCTAACGGATACTTTTAACTTTTTGAAACCAGTTGCTCAAAGACTTAAGCCAGCAGATAGTATTCTATGGTCTGTCTAAATCAGGGAGACTGAAAGTTCCTGCCCATAAGGGACTCATGGGGAGAGAAATCCTGCTGAATCTCACCTCTATAATGAAGTGAAACACTTTGTTAGTGGGAAACTGTTTTGCCCCTGAATCTGGGTGGAACGTGGGCCTTCTTGAAGAGGAAGCAGAGGTGATGGCCTGGCTCCAGGGCTGGACTGGGTTATGTGGACACTGAGATTTTGAAATACAGGGCAATACAGGGTGGGGTACTGACGTATGGAGGTGAGGAGCAGAACCAGGGGCAACTCTCTGGATCAGTTATATTTTTCTTCAAGTGGAAAGATAATGCAGAGTCTGGGAGACACATCCAGCGTTAACCAGAAAACCAAAATGGCTCCTGGCAATCCATAAAACCCAGAGTGAAGGACATGGTGCTGAGCCTCTTGGGCAATCTGTCCACCTGGGGATGCTTTCCAGCAACCAGGACCTCCCTCTCTAGAGTCTCCTCAAACAGCTCATCTGCTGCTGGCTTCTGCTGGCCTGCTTTGTATAGACAGGGACAGCGAATGGTGAATTCCTTCTCCTACCCACAAACTCCTCTGCATCCACATCTCTTGCTGCCCCTCTAGGGACACAATCAGGGACAACCCCCCACCCCATCCCCATGTTTGGAGCTGAACCCCTCCGTCTGCCTTCTCAGAAATCCTGTGTCAACAACCCACATCTCTTGCTGCCCCTCTAGGGACACAATCAGGGACAACCCCCCACCCCATCCCCATGCTTGGAGCTGAACCCCTCCGTCTGCCTACTCAGAAATCCTGTGTCAACAATGACCCCACACGGTCACATCTCACTTATTTCTAAGACAAGACAGAACCCTCCCAGGGCCCTGGTGTCCTTTTATTGTGGTGTCTGCATTCTTCTTTCCTTTCCTGATCAAACTCACTTCTTTCACTCTTGGCACATCAGTCTGCTTTAGCTCACAGCCCAATGAAAACTGTTCTTGTCGAGTTTTCCAGGGACTTCCTGATTGCTAAGTGCAACAAAAGTTTTCAACCCCTCTCCATCTTGACCTCCGAAGCATCTGATAGTGTTGGGCTCCACTTGGAATTCTGTGGTGCCTCTCCCTTTGGCTTCTGAGACAACACAGGCCCTGGATTTTCATTAATTTCTTTTGCTGCTCCTTTTCAATCTCTTCTTCCTCTACTAGTTTCTTGAAAATGAGTATTTCAAGTTCCTTCTTTGAACTCCTCTTATTCTATGCACAGTTCTGGAGATCCCACCCATGGCCCTGGCTTCCACCCCCACCTTCTTGTTCACATTCAGTTACATATTTCTTCAGCCCAGCTCTCTATGTCCCCAGGACCTATGATGACAGACACGTAAAACCCAACCCGTTCCTCCTCCATCCTGATGTCTGTGTCTTGGTGAGTGGCACCATCACCCTGGCATCCATTCTAGAAACTAGAGAGTCATGCTAGAGACTTGTCATTCCACAGCACCTAATTATCTGTCATCAGGTCCTACCACTTTCTACCTTTTACGCTTTTTTAGATTTGTACCCTCCTCTCCGTTTCCACTGTTACTGCTTCACTCAGTAACACCGTTTCCAACTTCTTTTCTCCACAATCCAGGGTTCCTAAACCTTTTTACTGTGGACCCCTTGGCTGCCTGGTGAAGCCAAAGGTCTTCTGAGTATTAATGTTGGGATATCCACAATGATAACCATGTAAAATGAAAAGATCTGTGATTTCTCCTGGGCTTGTTGCCTACATTTATAATGTGTGCTACATTTTAGTGAAAGGTTAGTGAACATAAACATGCATGTTTTTCTTATTCTAGTTTAGTGCTTCCCTGAGTTCCAGCTATAGACCCCATTCAATTATAAAGGTTTCCAGTCCATTCTCTACCTTGAAGCCGGAGACATCTTTTAAAAAAGGAATCTGGACTTCCACGATCAAATCAAGACTGAAGCATCAATTCTTTAGACACTCTTCTCCCCCACACTCCAGTCCATTCTCTACCTTGAAGCCGGAGACATCTTTTAAAAAAGGAATCTGGACTTCCACAATCAAATCAAGACTGAAGCATCAATTCTTTAGACACTCTTCTCTCCCACATCTGAGCTCCTCCAATGCTCCATGTTCCTTCCTTCATGATGTTCCTTTTTCACCTGAAACATCCTGCTCTCTTTCCCCATGTGCCAACTCCTATCCACCCTTTGAAAGTTATTCTCAGCAGGACATTCACAACCAACCTTCCCCGTGCTGTCCAGCTGAGGCGTGTACCCTGCACTCCCTGTGCCCTGAGAGCCCTGTGTGCAAGCCTGGCGGGCACTTTCCACACTAGTATGAATGATAGCTTTGTCTGCATCGCCTGTGCACAAAAGCCCCTTCAGGGAATATCTTCTTTGTTGCTGGATCCTCAGCATTTAGAACAAGGTCTGACTTAGGGGTCAGTTGAGCAAATCATAGATTTGGGGAGTGACACAACATGGGCTCCACTAAGAGAAAATATTTATCTTTTGGTAGAATTATCCTGTTTTGCATTTAAGTAGAAAAGGGTAAAGATGGTTCTCTCACACGTGGACTAGCATCAGCCCAGTTCATTGCTTCCCAAGCTACAAATGTTTAAGAAACTTCCTGAATGATTGGGCAGAAGATGAACTCTTTACCTGTAACTTCTAGGTTTGAAGTCCTAGCTTTATTTCTTGTTTAGCGACTCTCCCTGAGGCTTGATTTGTAGCAAACGTGGGTGGATACCAGGCTCCTCTAAAAGATGAAATGTTTTGTAACTGGCTCCCATCAAAGATTATGTCTTCTATCTTTAGCTAGTTATGTCTTTGAAAATATTTAATTAACATCTCCTCCTCATAAACATATTACTAATAGAGTTAAAAGTAGCTCACCAGAGACATCCTTACTCCCTTCTCCATGCTGACTTTGCAGGCTGTGTCTCTAGATAAACACAGAATCTAGTATAACCTCCCCACCAGGCAGGCGAGGTGGGATTCACAACCAGGTCAGCAGTTCTGTCACTTGATGGCCCTGGCCTAGAATGTCCCTGCTTTACCCAGGGCTGTTGTCCTGCCCCCACCCACTGCCCGCTAGGGCCATGTGGCAGTGCAGGTGAAAGCTGTGGGTACCAGAAAGCTGGTTTCTTTGGACAGGACAGACCCTTTCCATCTTTTATCAAGACCATTTGGAAGATGTCTCTTTTCTGGGCAATTTCTTTTATGGCTGAACCAATTCATTAAATTTGTATATTACTTTATGGTTTGCCTCAAAATAGAGCCTAGAAGTTAGATCATCAAAATGCACAGACCTTCCGTCCCTTTACACAACCAAGGGGCTGGAAGAAACCTTGAGAGATGATCTGAGCAGCAGACGCTGTGTAGGAAGTCACATTACTTTTAGGGATTCCTGAGGAAAAACGCTTAGAAAAGGGTGCTCTGGCTACATCAGATCTGTACTGCTGTGGGGG